GTGTGTGTGTGTGTGTGTGTGTGTGTGTGTGCGCGCGCGTTGCGAGCGTGTGTTTTTATGTGATCGTGAAAATATTTTGTCATAATTTGGACACGCGCGTGTCGTGAGAATGCGCCGTGCTGGTCTGTGCCACTGTTTATACCCCATCACCATCGCTGTCCTTGGTGACAGCGAGCGAGTTTCCCTAAAACCTGTTCACTGCGTGCAACCTTCATACGCGGATCTGTTTTTAAACAGGTTACCTGCATGAAGTTTATTCGGTAGCGGATGTGATCACACTGCAAATTTATTTCGTATGTGTATTTATCACCTAACGTTCCACGTTCGATCCACAGCAACCACTGACGGATAAACATTGAGAAAGTCGGCCTGGATATAAGTTGACTGATGATTAAAGAGTGAGAGTGCGAAACACTTTCTTAGCAAACGTGATTAACCTGCTTTCGCGTAACACATACCTGCAACATTTACTGTTTATACACACAGCGAGTTCTGCTTTCGCTGCCGTTTATTCTCGGCAAATATTTATTCTCGGCATTGTCAAAGAACAAGTCGAGGCATGATCACTAGAGCGTTCATTCAGTAGTCAGCTCCCTGGCGTCCCCAGCCCCTGTCCTCATCTGTGTCTTCTACCTAGAGCCATACAACATTTTCCCAACCGGTATTCCTCTTTCGCGTATCTCACAGTTCATCACCCTCTCTCACTCTCTCTAGCTTCTCTGTCACACTATCCTCGCTCTTTGTCACCAACTTTGTCCCCGCTCTTTGTCACCACCGCGCTCTAACCACATTCTCTGTCTCTCCATTCACTCACTATCACTCCCGCCACCCAAGTCCGCGGTACCTGCCTTCCTCACCTCCCCCCCCCTCTCTCTCTCTCTCTCTCTCTCTCTCTTTCGCACACACACGCGCGCACGCACACACGCACGCACGCACGCACGCACGCACGCACACACACACACACACGCACACACACACCACACAGTTCTTTTCTAGGGTTTTTCTCGCAGGCGCCCCATCTTTCCCTCTCTTGCTCTCTTTCATCGTCATTCTCCCTCCTTCTCTTTCTCTCTCTGTAGCAAGGCGCGTCGCGTGCCTCCCAGGTTCACGGTTCGGCTTATGGGAGATAGAGTTTCCCGGGTAGCTGACTGGTAGCTTCGATGAATAACAAGAACACAGAATTGTGAGATTCACTCTACGTGCGTGTATTAGATTAGACTATAAACACTAACAAAATATCTACTCGCGTGCAATATGGTAGCTGTACGCGCCGCGTGCCACGCCCGATCCGCATACGAGGTTATCGAGAGAGTGGCGACTCATATGTCGCCTCTCTGCGCGCGTATCGCGTATAACGTAAAAGATTACCTTCGTATGCAGATCGCTCCGAAATCACTCGGCGAGGTAAGGTTCTGGAGAATAGGCTCAGGAAAGGCACAGATACCAGATATCGGAAAACGTAGGACCCAGCGAAAAGATGACCTACGTGGTAGAAGAAGAGAGACCCGAGTGCGTCGCTAGCTTGTCGCGCGTCCCATTCACGACGGCGGCCATAAAATTGTAGCCCCGGTAGAGAGCCATAAAGGCACGCTCTACCCCGCAAATTGCTGTTTTTATGATAGCAATTGCAGAACGCAAGATTGTTTGTAAATCGGCTTGTTTTGAAAATGGCGAAGCGTCTATACTACATCTCTCTCTCTCTCTGCGAAGCGTTCTATAAACTACCATCTCTACTCTTCTCTCTCTCTCTCTCTCTCTCTCTCTCTCTCTCTCTCTCTCTCTCTCTCTCTCTCTCTCTCTCTGTCTCTCTCTCTCTCTCTCTCTTCTCTCTCTCTCTCTCCTCTCGCTCTCTCTCTCTCTCTCTCTCTCTCTCTCTCTCTCTCTCTCTCTCTCTCTCTCTCTCTCTCTCTTCTCTCCTCTCTCTCTCTCTCTCTCGTCTCTCTCCCTCTCGGCTCTCTCTCTCTCTCTCTCTCTCTCTCTCTCTCTCCTCCTACTCTCTCTCTCTCTCTCTCTCTCTCTCTCTCTCTCTCACTATTAGTCCTCTTCGTTAATAGCGCATCCTTCGCCATCGTCGGCTTGACACATAGTTCGGCTGACCCACTTTTGACACGTCTTCGTTCCGCCGCGCTCAGTCAAATCACCGACATCGGCTTAATTACTGCCTGCCAGCGTCCTACGATGCGCGACCACCGCCACGTGAGCGGCTTCGTGTCGCCGCGCTCAGCCTCGTGTCCCGCACCCGCCCAGGCCGCTCGTCCCACCAATAGACATCCACAGCCAGAGAAAGGTTGTGCTCGTTCACAAGCTATACGGTTGCCATTTGGTTTTCGCCCCCGAACAAGCGCAGCAGCCAGCGCGTGGAGCACAGAGATACGCTGGCTTTGAAAACAATGGTGCGCCCGCTCGGGCAGCGGTGACGGCGCATAAAATGCATGGGAGACCATGGGCGGGGGGGGAGGCGTGAGTGGTGAGAGGGGAGGGCGGAGGAACGGTAGGGGAGAGGAGGAGGGGGTGTCATAGTGACCTAGAAGCGACCGTGCGCCGTGTTATCGCACGGCGCACGTCGGCGTTCCAGGACAACAGGCGGCGTACGGTAAATACAACGTAATTCGTCGTAAATAATCACGGTTGGCCGTGTAATACTGTATTACTGATTAAAAGCAGTATATTTGACAGCAATGAAGCCTTAGCTCGATCGTCGTCGTCTCTTTCCGTTCGGCTTCTACCTCTCCCCCGTCCCCGCATCTCTCTTCTCTCTCTCTTCTCTCTCTCTCTCTCTTCTCTCCTTCTCTCTCTCAGTATGGTTTTGTCTTCTCTATCCGCACCTTTTGCTTCCGCCTCTTCATCCCTCTTCATCTACCCAACTTGTCTCTACT